AATGTTCAAAACAAGTTCAATGAACTTTCCTCAGTACGAGCCTAAGTTTTAACAAACTTTCCACCGTTCACAAAAGAATTGAACAACAGGCCACAATTTTGGACAAATTCTATTTTTCATAGAGGATTTTTGTCTATTTCTGCTTTTAAACTCAAGTTTGACCTATTCCAACTTTAAACCCGAACGATTTAATTGATTTCGGACTTTTTATATTGTAATCGTTATTTTCTACACTATCTTTTGTTTTTTTTTCAACTACTGATACAACTTCATTGCGAGTTTTTACTTAATCGTGTAATATTTTTTATCACTTTGAACGGAGACACTTATACTCTTCATTTTTCTTTCGGAGATGAACAGCAAATAGATCAAAATACATTTATGCGTAGTATTTTTTGTGGGCTATCCAACCATATGAGAAGCAGGAGAAATAAACCAATTCCAAGAACGCAGTATGAAAACTTATCAATGCAAGTTTTTTTGACTACAGCTGTACAAAACGTATGTGTAACAAATGAGGAGAAAAAGAAAAAATATGAACATCTGTTCACATTAGAGAGGCTGTAGTGGCAAAAGGGACTGAAAAAGAAGTGTTCATGTTCAGAATAAAGAGGTGTTCACTAGTAGAGGTTTTACTGTATTTATTTTAAAAATAAAGAACACTTATCAGGGGTCTGCATATTATAAAAAACTTTAGCAAACAAGTGATGGAAAATGAAATAATAAATGTAAAATATATATAGATATATAGATATGAGAACGAGAAAATATATAACGAAAAGATTATTTTATGAAAACCATACGTATTTATAATTGACGAGTATGAACCAATTGTTGTGTGGGTGTGGGTGTGGGTGAGGGTGTTAGATGAAGATAATACTCACAACCGCACACTCACACTCACCCCAGTAAATGAATTTTCCCTTTTTTACTAAGTCATTTTTCTTCGTGATTGACGAAACATTCGAAAATAAGCAGTTACTATGCAGTAGGGGTGTTACTTTATCTTTCCTTTATAAAATAAAGAATAATGAAATCTTTTTTTCCTCAAATACTTAAAATTTTGTCTTCTGCCAGATAGATCGCAAAAACTTAAAAGGTCACAAATGAAAAGAATTTGTGAAACAAGGTTTTTTCATAATTTTTTTTATATCTCACTCTCATTTGTTAGCATTATTTCATATATTGGAATGTCGCTGATGAAAAGAAAGAACTGCCATCAATATTTCCTATTGTTATATCAACTATTTATCTATTTACGAATCATTGGAAAAAATCTCTTTATTCTTTATTTTTACGAATAAAGCTTAACATTATCTTTATTTGAAAAAAAAAGATTAACTTTATTTCTTTATCTTTATTCTTTATTTTATTAAGATAAAGATAATCTTTACTTTATTCTTTATTATAAAGAAAAATAAAGTAAAGTAACATCTCTACTATGTAGGTGTTTTGTTTCTTTTTACTTTTTTCTCTCTCTCCTTATCATCAAACGAACAGCAAGAAAAAAAATCTCTTTATTTTAAAATTGGATATTTCTCACTACAGTGAATACGTAGACAGAGAGTGTAGTAAGTCATCCATTCGAAAAAAGACATAAAAACGGTGTTTACTCGCATTCATACGTACTGACATAATTATTCAAACGGTATTTAGATTGATTCTGACTACTATTTTATTGAATGTGTTTTGTACAGATTCTCATATAGCATACCGAATTATTCAAATGGCATTGTCTGCTTTACGCAATAACTCATACTGTTCAGCATGTGTCACAACCGACAGTTCCCCGGATCGAACAGGAGTTTCAATGGTAAGTTGCCATATTTAAAATTATATAATTTGTAGGAAATGCGTTCATGTCTCATGAGATACTTTTACATTACAAGAGGTCGATTTATCTCGCTTCTACAATTGTAAATATAAGAGAAGGTGTAGTTTCCAGCTCTTGTCTGGATTCTACTTCTAGGATGAAGATGTGCGTAGATGGATTTAATAGACATCAGTGATAGGATTCAGTAAGATTTCGATGAGATCTGACTATGGAATCGATGCACCTGAGCCGTCCACACTTTCTGGATTTATCATAATTCAAAACATTGGGTAGAGAAATGATAGATTCATCATATTTTTGTCAAACAATTGCAGAAATGATGACTTCAATGTCAGAAAATGATAAAAGACTTTTTCTTTCTATATAATATCTGACTGTGCACCGAACGTAATACATTATTTGACTTTTATTTCTAGCACAATGACCGTCGAACAACGATGCCGGATCGTCCTCTCAAAATATTGCTTATAGGTGATAGAGGTGTAGGCAAGGTATCATGAATTCTTTGAAGAGAAAGTTTTCTTGTTTGAACCTTTTTCCATAGTCTACCGTTTTATTCGGCTTTAGCAATAATCTATCCAATTCCCCGTTTATTTCCACAATCCGTATTGACTTTTTAATAAAAACCATCCAAGTGGACGGACGCAAAATAAGGTTACAGATATGGTAAGTAGATGTCTGCGCACATCTGTTTGATATACGATGATCAATTTAACTGGATTTATATCAACTGACATTATCGATGAATGACTTTTGAAGTCAATTTTCATCATTTTGTACTAGAAACGTACGAGTCCAAACTTACGCATGTCCAGGATCGTGGACATGATCAAAATTAACATTTAGCTAGCTTAACCGAAAATAAAGTGCCTGATTTTTAACACATCCATGAATTTGATCTCACCAACACTACTTTTTGGAACATTTTCATATCTTACATCCTTCTACTATTTTTTTCAGTTACAGTTCAGATTCTCTTTCCGAATATGCCCTTAGTGTATAAACACAGTTTTATCTGTATTTGAAACCTGTTTTAAATCGTATTTTTACAAAACATTTCTCAGTCTGATTGATTCTCGAACTGGTCTAACCTCAAATCAGATGACTTAAATTAGAAATCGTTCCCAAACTTCTATTAATCTACGATCAACTAAATCTTCATCCATGATTATTGACTGTAAACTTGAAATGCCTGCTATGTAAGATAATCCCCTATATGACCGTACTATGCGCTTTGAACGAGTGTATCATTAGGATCATTATATGCTTTCTTCCTTGTTCAGGACTCCTGCCGGTCAAGAACGTTTTTTCAGTATCGCTAGTAAGTGTATTCTAAGATCACTGACTATTTAGAAAAAAAAATATTCCTTTATCTCTAGAAAGTTATTATCGTAATGCCTCTGGAATAATCCTTTTTTACGACGTAACACAAGCGAATTCATTTGAAAACATAAATAAATGGTTGCGTACTATTGATGAGCATCTATCGGATGATGTTGTGAAAATGCTAGTAGGTAATAAATGTGATATGGTAGAACAATGCTGTGTCTCTCGTGAACTTGGCGAATCATTAGCACGTAAACACAATATACCATTCTATGAAACATCGGCTAAATTTAATATTAATATTAACGAGATATTCTTCGAAATGGCTCGAATTATTCTACAAAAGAATTATTAAATTCGATTGACTGTGTAACAGAACATAGCGGTACTTTATCAGCGGTGTGACTAAAATTCGTTGAATTTTATAAATTACATAAACAAATCGACTTCTGATATAGTATGTGCATGTGTCAATTAGCTGCGGTAAAAAAGACAGTAGTTTCAGTCCTAATTATCTCTAGAAACAACTTGTCCGGATCAATTAGGATTCTGCCAAGTTTTAATCGAGATCCTATTTACATCGGTTAATCAGTAACTTCTCGCACTTTAAAATTTTTATTCATAGAAAGAATGGGTGTCAGTGTGGTTCACGATACGAATATCTTGAGAACATGACTTTGGGTATATGTGTGAATATGAATGGCGAAAATTTACAATCACACCCTCACCCTCACCCTTGCCTATTTGAAACTATTGCTCTTCGCGAGAAGAGGAAGTAAAGAAAACACATACTCTTTAGCATGGTTTGCTTGCTTTCAAAATTGCTGTATATGTTGTTCTTTCATTGAAAGAGAAACCTTGAGTTTTGGCATATTATTATGCAGCGCACGGGTACCTCCTGAATTACTGAGATAAGTTTCAAAAGAATACATTTATACACTACACAGATATGACTCGAGAAAGTCCATGTTTGCAACGGCAATTGTTTTTGCACTCTACTGTATATACGTGTAATTCAATAATTATAATTTGCTTTTTCAAGTTCGTTGTCAGCTTTTCTGATCAACAAATGGTAAATTATCTGTCCATAAATACTTCAACACTCTCTTTCAAATTGCCTTTCACAAAATATTTTTTTTTACATAAAAGATATAAAAAAAGACACATCTTCGAAGTTTTCTCAACGCACAAATTTCTTTGTGCTTAACTCTTTAGATACATATGTTCAATAAGTTTCCATATTTTTCATTTGCAGAAATATAAAAATGAAGTAAAATATTTTTTATCATCTATTGATGATAATTACCTTGGAAACTGACTGAGATGATTAAACATGTATTGAAGTGACACGTTAATCTAAATGCGACGCAGTTTTAAATAATTATTAGAGAAATACTTCTCTGAATAGTCTAATGAAAAAGAAATGAGACCTCTCATGCCACTAAACATTACTGATGATGTGCATGATATATATGCCTTGATGTCTGTGTGACAGTATTATATCTGATAATTCACATGAGTTGTTACTAATCGTGAGTTTCCGTTTATCATAACATACATCTGTCATATCAATTTTACTCTTTCTGATTGATGAATTCTCTTTCGTAAAAAAAAACTTGTCGTTCATTTTCAAATCTTTCATTATTATTACTAAATTATGTGTACAAATAACAGCTCTGATAATAATGATACTTCATCCGAAAGCTCCGAAATTTCTCTACCATGTATAGTTCGTTTTTGAGGGTGAGGGTGGGTGTGGGTGTGGGTGTGGGTGAGTAATAGTATAAGAAACGCACATCATCGTATCCACAGTATACATACACATGATAGCCACGGTACGCTTCAACCAGTACGAAAGACTAACTGAAAAGATAATGACTGGAGTGGGATCCGAACCCGCACCCTCACCCTCACCCACACCCACAGATATTGATCTACATCAAATTTTGCGAGAATCTGGTTTTACAGTTATGGCTCTAACGCAACCCTGTTTGACCAAGGAGCATACATTTTTCCTCGATAAACTGGTATGCCAGCCCTCGTCTATTTGAAAAATTATATGAACTCAAGACCGATACATGTAGTACTATACATTGAATTTCGACGATCAAAACCGTATTGGTTCAGTCAAACTTGACAAGTAGACAAAAGGTGATTTTAACTATATTAACAGCAATAATCTAATGTTTTTGAAGTGACAAGATTAATGAGAGATCCTTATACTATGTACAATTCACAGGCCGAGCCTATGACCTTTCTAATATCAGTAATAAACCCGCAACCAAAGAATTAAACTATTAACGATTTGTAGAGTTTGAAATATATTAAAGCACGTGTTTCATCAAATGATTTTAAATATAACTCTATATTTAATTTGATTATTCTCTATAGAAAAATAACTTACATACTTTATCTTAAAGGAAGTATAATTGTTATTTATATATAAATAGTGTTGTATCATTTTGTATTAGATATTTATATCATAAGTAAAATAATCATCAAAAAAGTGTTTCTTCAATATTTTTGTTCCTAGTAGTAAAAGTGATCAAAGATATCCGTGTTTTAATGATAACGTATGATTTTATTCTTATTAAATATTTTAAATTATTTTGATAAGAAAATTATTTAAAATATTCGATTCTTGTTGGTACTGATCCTTGTCGTGGCCAAACATGTATCATAGTTCCTCCTGGAAACATTCTTGTATAAGTATGCATTTCACGCCGTGTATCTTCTGTTATATCGAAGAAAACAACTTCTATTCGTCCATCAACTGTACGAAAAGTTCTTCGAGTATAAAATCGATTGTTCTCTTTTATTTTAGCAGTTTGTATGGTTTGATTATGTGGATAATGTTTAGCCATCCATTGTTCCATTTTCTGGTATCTAATCTCACGATTCTCTCCACGGAGTGGAACTATTCTTGGAGATCTTTTATGATCTACAAAAGCTGTTTGCCCTATTGAATGGTGATATGATCTGAAAAAGATATTTTAGAAGATTTTTAAAAGAATTTATACAAATTTCTTTCTTACCTGTACGCCGACATAGTTATATTTGTCCGAATGATGAAAAATAGAAAATTTTCGCCTTTTTATATTGATAAGAAGTAATGAACCGAGTTATTAATCATGTTATATCTAAATAAGAAAGGAAGTAAGTAATGACTACAGTATGAAAACAAAAATAAATTTTCTAAAAACTTCGTTAAAGTCACGTTTTTTTTTCGATTAAATAACGATTCTTTATGTGTATGTATAACTGAGTCATTTATCTGTCATTTCATATTAAAAACGCAATATATCTCAATAAAGAATCATAGGAAGAAAAAAAAAGACCAACTAAAATGTAATGTCTATTGCAAAACAAGTGCATAAGAGAGAATAAATTATTCTGGAATATCTTCAAATGAAATTTATTAGAAAAAAATCTTCTTCATTTACAACATCAACTCTATTTCAACATAATTACTAAATAAATCAATAATATTCTATGATCATTGACTGGTTAACTAGAATTAATTCATGAGAGCGTAAAGAAATAATTCAACGAATTGAAATCGATAAAAACAATCTGATGCAAATGTATGACAAAAAAATATATGCTAATTAGCTTCTCAGACTTTATTTCAAAGAACTTTTTATGATCTAAAAAACATCAACGAATGAAAAAAGAATTTAATTATATAATACTTCTAATGCAATCACTTTCGCTTCATTATCAAATCAAGAGAATTTACTCAATTCTTATATGTGTAAATGCTTCTATTTGTGGTTCTTGGGGATAAAAAAAGTTAATCAAAGAATAGTAACGTCTTTTATTCTGAATTAGATAATAAAACTGTATAAAAGAATATTGTTCAATGAGAAAAAATATCAATGATATATCTTGAGATCACCATCAAAAGTTTTGATATTAGTGTACGATTAAGTGGTACACTGTTGAGACATGACATTGAATTTAAGTACTCGTTGATTGCTCCAGTCAACAGCGTACAGATTTCCGGTTCTGTCAAATGCAAATGCCGATGGTGTATCCATTCGTGTAGCGTTTGCGTTGAATCCTTGTATTCCATCAGCGATAAGGCTACCAGTAAAACTACCAGTAGATCCATTCGATATCCACTTAGTAATTCGAGCCCAATCACCCACTAAAATGTTACCAGTTCTGTCGACAAATACTGCTTGCGGATAATAGATCTCCCTGAACACAGTAGGGGAAATTGTTCGATAAGGGCCACTAATCACGGTGATTCCATTTACTGATCCACTGATGTATTTTTGAATACGATGATTACCTGTGTCTGCAACATAAACAACGTTATTTACTGCATCTACGAATAAACCATGTGCATCTGATAACTGATTGGAACCATTTCCTTGACCTCATCCACCTGCTATCAAAACACCACTAGTGGCATTCACCATCCATTTCAATACTCGTTGGTTGGAAGCATCTAATACATATACATCACCCACCTCATTCACGTATAAACCACGACAATTTCGTTGCAATTGATTTAATCCATTTCCAACACCGTTACCAAAGGCCACCTTCACTGGTACTGTTTGTCCAGGTAACAGTTTATACACAGTTGGATTGCCTAAGATCGTGTCAATATAATAAAGTGAACGACTCGGTGAATGAAAGAATAAAGGATTGTGTGAAAATTGTCCTTCTAGCATATTGACTGGCTGCACAGCACATGGAGCCCACTTTTGTAAACGACGTGGATTTCCGTCAGCTACATATACATTAAAATCATCGTCAACAGCTAGACCTCCGTAATAACCACCACTTGCTACGACATAACCAGATGAATTCCAACTTGTTGGAAAGCAGCTTGTTGTTGGAATGCACTTTGTTGACGCTAAAACATATGAGTATGTTAAGTAAACTAAAAATTTCTCATCATTCAGACAATCAAAGTCAAAATTTCTTAATTATCAAAATGCAACGCACAGAAACGAGTCGAAGATTCTTGTTCAGAATGATCATATGAACATTATACTTCTACTTACTCAATTGTCCTGCACTTTGTTGTATAGTTAATAAATTCTACAAAAAAAATAAATAGAAAATGAAAATTTCGTAATGACAATTAATCTTACTGTTACGAAGAGAATTATAAAACCGAAAAACAAATTGGAAATCATTGTTTGTATCGAATATTATTGAAGAATATCTGAAAAAAATTAATAAGAAATCTAGCAATTGCAATCAATCGAAGATGTACAAATAAGTAGCGACTCGTCAGCACCTTCAACTATCTTTTACCAAAAGAAAATTTGATATGAATTAAACCAAAAAATAGGATCCTTTTATATAGGTTCTTCTTGTAATGCTTATTGAAGAAATACGCAGATTTGATCTGACAGATGAATATTATTCATACTTCCTTTTTTTAAACATATAATTTTCTAACGTCGTATGAATAGAGGCCTTTTACCTGTGTATTATATTGACATAATAAATAGAATACAGAACAACTGAATATCATTCAGTATAATCGTTCGTAATTACCAACTAAGACGTCAAATTATCTATCATTTACATCAGAAATGAATGATCATGACACAATTCAAGAAATTAAAGAGGGTTTTTACCCAAAATGATTCTCTAAATGTGAAAATTTTTCATATCAATGACGTATTTTTATCAAAATATATTAATTTGCGTCGTCATACATTTTGATTAAGACATACTTGAGATAAACTACAGAATATACATCGATATCATTAGTGTTGCCAACAAAATCCGACCGTGTTGACAAAGACTTGAAGAGTACTGAAGATACATAATCAACTCTCTCTCAACAAGAAGAGCTAAGTGTCAAAGGTAAAGTATGAAAGTTACTTTCTGAATTAAAATGAATCGTTTATTTTCAATCAAGGGCGTGAACAACGACATTTATTGATGCAAAAATTGAATAAGCGTCGACTTGATTCACGCGTATGTATTCTAANTCATCTGCAGATATTGATCTACATCAAATTTTACGCGAATCTGGTTTTATAGTTATGACTCTGGCGCAACCCTGTTTGACCAAGGAACATACATTTTTCCTCGATAAACTGGTATGCCAGCCCTCGTCTATTTGAAAAATTATATGAACCCAAGATCGGTACATGTAGTACTATACATCGAATTTCGGCGATCAAAACCGTATTGGTTCAGTCAAATTTGACGAGTAAAAGGTGATTTTAATTATATTAAGTGCAATAATCTAATGTTTTTGAAGTGACAATATTAATGAGAGATCCTTATACTTTGTACAATTCACAGGCCGAGCCTATGAATTTTAAAGATTTTCCAGATGAACTTATTCGACAACTGATGGAAAGGTATTCTCACCCGAGATCTATAGATGATCTTTCTGTTATTAGTAATAAACCGGTAATCGAAGGATTGAACTTTTGACGATTTGTAGAGTTTGAAATATATTAAAGCACGCGTTTCATCAAATGATTTTAAATATAACTCTATATTTAATTTGATTATTCTCTATAGAAAAATAAGTTAATACTTTATCTTAAAGGAGGTATAATTGTTATTTATATATAAATAGTGTTGTATCATTTTGTATTATATATTTATCATCATCATCATGTCCCATAGGCTTAACGCCCGTTGGGGCCAACCATTTTACGGGATCAGATTTTTCCACGCTTGTCGGCCTTGTGCAAGATGGAACAGCTCCTGCGCACTGCGCTGACACCACTCTGTTGTGTCATCTAGCCACTCTACAGATGTGGCCAAATAACCGGAGTTTTCTCTTCTTGATGGTGTCTATTATAGTCTCTTCCCTCGATATCCTCTTTCGGGTATCTTCGTTTCGTATCATATCTTGCCAATTTATTTTTAGAATGCGTCGGTAACATTTCATCTCAAATACCAATAGGTTTTCCTGTCTGCCTTCTTTAGAGTCCAAGTCTCTGATGCGTATAATAGGGCGCTGAACACACATGTGTTTAAAGTCTTAGCTTGTTTTCTGTCCTCAATTTCCTGCTACCCCATATGTGTTTCAGAGAGGCCATTGCACCTGTCGCTATCCCTATTCTCCTTTTTATTTCCTCTGAACAGTTATTGTCCCACGTCAGCATGCTGCCTAGATATTCAAATCTTTCTACGTTCTCTATGGTACTCCCTGCTACTTGTATACTGTTGTCGATATTCCTGTCTCCAAAAACTATCGTTTTGGTTTTATTTATATTCAAGATTAGTCCAGCTTGTTCGGNGTACTTATGCAGTCATACAACATCATACCATTAGTTGATCATCGTCTCCTATTTCGGAAACAGAATAAAGATTTTTCAATGCATGTGTAAGGGGGGCTTATAATTTTGGTACACCCTGTATAAATAGATCTACATTGTAGATATTTTAAAATCTCTTGTTTATTTAAAAAAATTACTTTATCTGACGATTTTCTGATTTTTTTAAAGATTTTGTTTTATAAAACAAGTTTTCTGTTGGCGAATATTTCATTTTCGAGAAACTATAATCATATAGAGATTTTTCATTTCTGTTTCTATCTGCAACGAGATGATGATAATATCATTTTCAAGCAAATACTCTCATCTACACCATCTAAGAACATTGAAGTCAATAAAACATGACATAGGTTTCTTTTTTCTTCTAAAAAAAAGCGCATAAACGAACAAATCATGAAACATTGAGAAAAAATATGTCTAAAAATTACAATACTTCCTGACTATTAGCAATACATAGTATTCCTTTTCTCTAGGCAAACTCTGATATTTATATAGCAAACATTTAATCAAGAAATTCTACATGCTATTCAATTTAACTAGTTTATCTGTCAACATCTTCGTAATCAAAAAAGTATTTTGTTTAAACAATTTCTTTTGAATAAATAAATTTGTTGTAAAAAGACATAAATTTTTTCAAGTAAAATAAAAACTATTTCATTTAATCAATATGTTCATCGCTGAAATGGTTTCTTTATGGATATTTCTATTCATTATTAAAAAAACCTCAGGTAAATTATTCTCATTCTTAAAATAAAAAACGTTCAGTTTGAAATATGGAAAGATTAGAATCCAATATTATTTCTAATACTTTTTCATTTAGGTATTGTTTCTTATAATCAACCAAGAATCGATTCAAATTCATCATGGAATCCAAATGGAATGACAATTCTCTCAAATATATCCTACTTGAATGATATTTTTATCGATATAAATAATACAATCTTCATTCCAAATTATGATGATAAACAAATTCTTCTCATTGACCAACAAAATTTTTCATCAACACTAAATCTTTCTCTTTCTTTATTTAATTCATCAACAATATTTGTACGAAGTATAGATGAAATCTATATTGATGCATATTATACAATAGGTGGAATTACTGAAATCAAATCAAATTTAACAATTGAACAAATATCACGAATGATTTTATGCCAACAATGTTTGGATTTATTTGTTACCGAAAATAATATTCTTTATTGTTCATTTAATCAACATCATGAAATTCTTTCTCAATCATTAACTAATGATTGGAGTCCTTTGATGACTGTGGCTGGAACAGGTAGTGAAGGTTCAACATCAACAACACTTCGATTTCCTTACGGAATATTTATTGATGAAAATACAAATCAAGATTTATTTGTTGCTGATTGTGGAAATAATCGAATTCAATTATTCCCATTTGAAAAATTAACTGCGACAACGATAGTTGGAAGTGGATCAATGAATATAACAATTGATCTCAATTGTCCTACTGGCATTATATTAGATTTTGATAAATATTTATTTATTGTTGATTCATTTAATCATCGCATCATTGGTGAAAATCAATATGGATTTAAATGTTTAGTTGGTTGTTCAAATTCATCAGGTTCAGCATCAAATCAATTATATTATCCTTGGAGTGTTAATTTCGATTCATATGGAAATTTATTTGTTAGTGATCGAAAGAATCAAAGAATACAAAAATTTGAATTGATCATTTATTCACGTGGTATGTTTTTAAAAGAATCTTGTTTATATATCTCAATAGATCATTGCAAATTCACATTGATATTTTATATGAAACTTATCATTCAATTGTATATCGAAAGGACAAGAGGTTATGTAATAAACTGAGTAGAGTCTAATTTATTCACAGCGAAGTAATATAATTACGACAAGAAATATTCTAGAAGGAAAATAGTAGAAATGACTAATGTTTGAAAAAGCTTAGAATTAACTGTGATAGAAATCGAGGAAAAACAATTTCAAAGCATCACTTATTCTTTATTTTTTCTTTTTTTAATATTTTATTCTTCTTCCAGTAAAAAAAGCAACGAATGTCTAAGTTAAATGTCCTAAGTCTCATAAACAATATTATTATCACCTCTCACTCGAAAGATAAGGCTCATCTTCATCGTCACGTTCTTTATGATAATTCCCCAAAAAAGTTGTTTTATTATTTATCTAGTTTTTGTATTGTATTTAGTGTGGATAAACATCGCAAGTATGAATGTTCCACGAAATGAACATATAGCATCATTGTTAGTAAATGGAAAAGTTTTAGTTAGTAGTGGGCAAAATTCTGGCGGTTATATCAACAGTGCTGAATTATATGATTCATCAGCTGATAATTGGACAATGACGGGAAATATGAGCACGGGTCGAGGTGGATATACAGCATCTGTTCTATTCAATGGAAAAGTCTTAGTTAGTGGTGGATATAATGGTGGTATCCTCAAAAGTGCTGAACTGTATGATCCAACAACTAATCATTGGACATTAACAGGATATATGAATAACGGACGATACGGACATACATCATCAGTACTGTTAAATGGAACAATTTTGGTTACCGGTGGTAATAATGCTATGACTAATGTTGAATTATACGATCCATCAACAGGCAGTTGGACATCGACAGGAAATATGAATGTTGCACGAACTCGACATGGTGCATTGGTATTATCTAATGGGAAAGTATTAGTTACTGGTGGTTCTTCGAACAAAGCTGCAGAATTGTATGATCCAGCAACAGGTATTTGTACAATAACAGGAAGTATGAATGTTGTACGATCTTTTTTTACGATGTCTAAATTATCAAATGGCAAAATATTAGTCGCTGGTGGAGATAATAATAATGTCGGTGTAACTGCTGAACTGTACGATCCATTGACTGGTAATTGGACAATGATAGGAAATATGAGTGTCGCACGACAATATCATACAGCATCGATATTATCAAATGGAAAAGTATTAATTAGTGGTGGTTCTTCTTCTAGTACAACTACTGAAGTGTATGATCCATTAACAGATAGTTGGATAATAGGAGCAAACATGAATGTTGTTCGAAAGTCTCCTGCATCAGTTGTATTATCGAATGGAAAAGTACTCGTTACTGCTGGCAGTCCTTCTCTCTCAAGTGCTGAATTGTATTGATTAATAATACCACAATAATATTGCACCTCTTGATTGAATTGAGATATTGTCTTTTTTCTAATGTTTTACTTTGCGTATTATTATCTTTATTAATTCTAATAAATATTCTCTTTCTCGTAGAGAAGAGTCTTAGAAACATAAATTGTTTGCTTGCTTGCTTGCTTGTATGTCCGCAGGGTCAAAAAACATTGAAAATCGATTTTTCCGAAAAGACATTTCCAGATGTATTTCGATGCGGAGACTTCGAATCTGATGTTGTTTTTTTGAAATTTTTCATAAAAAACACTTTTTTAGACAAAGAGCCACTTTTTTACAAAAAAATATTTTTGTTATAAAATTTTACCAAAGGGTTTTTGGGGTCCAGGAATTCAAATCTGATGTTAGTTTCTCGAAATTTTTTGTAAAAAAACTTTTTTGAGACAAAGAACCATTTTTTCATGAAAAAATTTTTTTTTTGTGAAGACTGACGAAAGGGTTTTTTGGGTCGAGGAACTCGAATCTGATGTCATCTCTTTGAAATTTTTCATAAAAAAAAATATTTTTTGAGACAAAGACCCAATTTTTTTATGAAAAAAATACTTTTTTTCATGACATTTCAACAAAGGGTCTTTTTGGGTCGAGTGATTCAAGTCTGATGTTAGTTTTTTAAAATTTTTTATAAAAAAAATTTTTTTGGAGAAGGGTTATTTTTTACTGAAAAATTGTTTTTTGGTGAAGTTTGACCGAAGGGCTTTCGAAGTCAAGAATTACGAATCTCAAATCAGGTTTTACATATTATATAAACAGAAACTTCAGTGATATTATAGAGGATGGTTTCTACGAGAAAGAGCTGAGCGAGTCCACAGACGAGCGTTACTTGTATATATATAGAACATATTTACCAACATTGAAATCCATTCAATGAATACATAAAATATCCACTTGATGACTCACTATTGTACAGAGATCAGTGAAAGGACGATATGTAAAATATCCGGAAATAATACTACAAGTAGCGCTCGTCGTGCCGACTCACTTAACCCTCGACTGTGGAGAACAGGTATTTTTTCGTGTCCGCAATATGGCACAAATTAGTCTAACAATTTTTCATACACGAAGAAACAATTCGGATGCTTTGCGCAGATATGTTTCGTAACTTTCGAAAACAAAATACTGAATTTTTCCAACTCGTTTTGGAGAGGCATAAAAAACCTCAATTTTATATTACCAATGCAATATGCAATAAGAAGAAACAAACGATCACGCAATACAATAAGCACTAGGGCCACTTCAATCGAACAACATCGCAACCATACACAACATATCAAATGCGCCACGAAGAATACACAAGAGTAAAAAATATAGAACGTCAAACAGCAATCTTAGTGTGCCCTAAGTCAATTCCACTTTCCAGGCATCCTCATCCACAAACCTCTGCCCATCAACTTCACTACCACGAGACCAATCGCCATTCTATCCAGAAATAGGCATCTCCGCGAAAAAGCATCTCTAACTCCCATTTATGAGTACAACTGGAACAATCACTCAACTACAAAAGAATACTTTTACCATTAATACAAATTTACTACGACCATCAACAACAATCATCGCTTACTCGTGTCGGTTTTCTTTCTTTACCTTTGTCAAATTTCCATATATTGAACAGGTTTAACTCAAAGAATTAGGATTACATTTGACACATCTGACTCTAGCGAATGTATTTTTTGATATCTGTATTTCTCGCCTTCAGTGCATTTAGCTACGGTAATACATACGATTATTTATTCGCCGTTCTTTTATTACTCCTAAGATCAGTAGCAGTTCCATAAAAGTTGGAACACCTAGCCATTTCAGCTGTCTTCTAACACCACTCCCAGCCATTCCAAATCCCAATCAGCTTCTTATTCCATTACGAACAGCTTGACAAGAGCCGAACACCTGACCTACATAAAATCCTCCACTAGGGACACAGATCCGCCGATCATCGATTCCAACCACCTACCTACAGGCACCCGCCCCAAAAAAGAGCCAATGAACGGTCACCCACGCCCATACACCCACCCATAGTTTCACCCAAGGCCCCACCCTCAGCCCCCGGCTTCACCCTTCATCCACGATCGTGCTAAGACCAGCACAGTAGAAGTTTTCAACGTTTGTAGGAAAAAAATGTTTTTTTGACCTTTGACCCTGACACAAACAGACAGACAGACAAACTATTTTATTTCATATGACCCTCTCTACAGTCGAGGGAACATATTAGAAAGAGTCATAAGAACGAAAACAAAAGGCGACAGGATATCACTCGAGAGCAGATGCATAAGCGAATCTGATTGAAGAAAATGCCTATCCAACGAAAATATACGATATCATCGAATTTCTCTTCAACTGTTCCACAGAAAATGCTCATATTTTAAAACAAACTATGTTTAGAAGTATGATGTCAATATGTCAACTACGATAGGTTCACATGAAAGATGCGTTTGATAGACATAGTTCACCGAACAATGACATCTTGCCTGAGACGCGAGATAACATGTGAAGCGAAATCTTAAATTTTAAATGTATATTGCTTGCGTTAGTAATGAACGATCCGCATTCTGAATAATTAAACATCGACAAAAAAAGCTGCATTACTTCATCAACTCGTGTGTAGATAATTTGGAAGAAAAACATTTATTGATCGATCGATCACTCTTTAATTCATTTTTCTGAATAAGTCGAAGCTTCAAATATAAAAGAGAATAGTACGTTAAAAAGCGTTCATTTTCGGTGTTCTAGCGAACGAGGTTAGCTTTGAAATAGTAATCTAAAAGTCTATGCAGTTAAAAAGGTGTCCAAAGTTTCTATCTTCGTTCGAATCATTTGATAAGCCTTCAAAAACTCGCCGTGTGCTGTCAAAACGAACTCTTTTAACCTCATATACGCGCAGTGTGCTGCTAGAAGCGGTTTTTCGCACCTTAGCAAAAATGAAAACATGCACTCACCAATGAATAGCGTGGTGGACTTGCGTCTGGTCGATCCATCTAAAAAAAGTGAAACAAATATATTCTACGAAGATGGAAAAAATATTAACAAAAAATCCTTGTAACGAAGTGCTAGTGTATGTGTGAATATCTACACGTAAATGCATCCATATACAACGAGAGAGAAAGAGAGAGACAGACATATGTACACACACAGAAAACATGATCGTTCGCTTTCACTAGAAGTACCCAGTTATCCATTTCTCTCTCTATGTTTTCTAGACAGGAACGTTCGAAAGTATTCTTCTTCTAAGCTGTTCTTCTCTTCGTTCGTTCTACTGTCTTTGTGAATTTTGTAGTCATAAACACAAGTGAAGCCTCTGTTAGTAAATCGCATTGACCTGCATTCCATCAGCCTCTTTCTCTTTTAAATCCTTCTTTATTTAAAACAAATGGGAAAAAGCTCATACTTATTGTAGCACAACTATTTCGACATGATATTTTCTACCGCAGACGAAATTGTGAAAAAAGCAGCGGACATCGTCCTTCACTCAAAACATTCCCTTCGCAACACAAATTTTTCAAGCTGCACCATTGGTTTGTCCTACACGTGATGGGGCTGATCGTTTAAAATCCAAATGTTCGGATCTAGCTATCCCAAAGACAAAGAGTGTCTTAATTATCATTCACCATACATGTGGCTCGTTTTCTAATGGATTTAAGATTCTACGCAGATTTTATTTTTATATATGGCAGCGATAGTGCGATTCTTTTTGGTTTAACTTCTACTCATTGTCTTCCATCGAACTGACTCAAGCATCCATCATTGTGAACTCTCCTTGATATTACATTAGTGTACAATTTATTTCTTCACATTACAAACGTCGTTCAATAAACATTTGAATAGGAACATGAGGTCGTAGAATTGCGTCCATAGAAAGATGTAGCTGATCGATAGTTTGAGTAGAACGAAAAGAAAATCGACGAAATATTGTTGATAGCACTACCCTTTCTTCCAAGCCAGCAAACCGTTGTCCTATTTCAATTGACAATATCCGTTTTGCAAGAGGAATAACTCTTCCTTACCGATACAATTTCGTGATCCAGCTGAAAATGGAATAAAAGCGAAAGGTGAATGTTCGTTTTTCATCGCCGAACTATCAGCAAATCGTTCTGGATCAAAATTATCTGGATTAGTAAAAACACCTTCATCATGATGAATACCATATATAAAAATGTATACAGTTGTGCCTTTTCGTACTATTTGATTACCTACAATGTAAAGATTGAAAATTGATTTCGAAGAAAAATATTTTCGAATTTACGATAGGTAAAATCTGTTTGTACTTCTCGAGCAATTCCAGGAACTGGTGAAAGAACTCGCATGGATTCCTATTTACATCGAAACAATACTCTTTGCTCGTCATAAGATTATTATCTTTACTTTTATCACACAATCAAGATAGGTCATTTGTTGAATATCTTCCATCGTACATGGTCTCTCTCGATCATCTAAAAGAAAGCGAATATTACAGACGTCAAATATGGTATTGATTACCGGCAAAAATGATGTCCAATTCAGTTTGTACTTTAGCTTGAATATCTGGATGGCATCCCATTAGATAACAAAAATAGTTCACTGCTGCTGCTGTTGTATCATGACCAGCGAACATAAATGTGTCAACCTCTTCTTGAATATCATTTAATGAAAGTGTTTTTGCATGCATTTGAGTAAGAAGACTGTCGAGAAATACTAAACGACGCTTTGAACTCGTTTCATCTTTGTTAAATGTAGCGAGACGCTCTTCAATAACCTTTCGCAGACACAACAGTAATGTTTAATTGATTTTTGAAAGAAAGAGAAAATTACTTTTCGAGAAAAATCATGTAAAATTTGCACTTGTTTCTCATGTTCACGACCGATTGGTAATCGATTGAAGATAAACGTAGGCCATAACCATGGAGATCGTGAACGAATATGGATAATTTTACCTATTCTAGAAGACAAACTTACATATACGAATAGATCTATGGCTCTTCATTCTACCGTATCGTTGC